TCTTCCCTGTCATATTGCAGATTAATTCTCTCACACAGCATTTTCTCCAGTAGTTTCTTTACCACTGATGTGAGACTCCGAGGTCTGTATTTCCCTGGTTTATCACTATCACCCTTCTTGTAAAGTGGAACCACGTTAGTTATCTTCCAGTTCTCTGGCACCTCCCATGTGGCTAATGAAGAACTTAAAATTGGAGTCAGAACACTTGAAATTTCCTCCTGTGTCTCCTAAAACTGCTTACTATACAGGCCATCTGGATCCAGGGAGTGTGTCTAATTTTAAACCCACCAAAACCATCGATATCTCCCCACTCCCAACATCAATCTGATCAAGTCATTGACAGTCCCTGTCCCCAAATTATGTGCTGCCTTCTCCGCGTGAAGACAGGTATGACGTACTCATTTAAGACTCCGCCAATGTCCTTCAGGTCCACAAACAGATTGCCCCCTCGTCCATAACAGGAGCTACTCATTCCCTGGTTATTCTCTTCTCCTTAATATACTTCACAGTACCTTGTGATTTTACCTGTTGGTATTTTCTCATATCCCTTCTTTACTCTCTTAAGTGCTTTCCTTTAAGTGTAAGTTCCCCCTTACGCAATCAAGGTGCACCAGGTCCTCTGTTGATTTGCTATTTTTCCATCTGCTATAAACCTTTCTTTTCCTTCCAATGCTGTCCAGAATATTTGTAGACATCCAGGGTTCTCTGGTCTCATCGCTCCCACATTTCACCCTGAAGGGATCACGTTGGGCCTGTATTCTCTCGTTTACCTTTCTGAACCATCCCTGCACTGTTCTGCTGTAGATTTTTCTATGAGTAGCTCTCTGCAGTCTACTTTGACCAGATTGTGCCTTATTCTAATACAATCTGCCTTCCCCCAATTCAAAATGATTCTCTGCAGACCCTTCCTTTTCCATAACAAACTTATAACATATGGTATAGAGAGAGAGATAGTGGGAAGTGCCGATGCTGGAGATTCTGAGATAACAAGGTGTAGAGCTGAATGAACACTGCAGGCCAAGCAACATCAGAGGATCAGGAAAGCTGATGTTTCGGGTCTGGACCCTTCTTCAGAAAAAAAAATGGTGTTGTGGTCCCTATCACTGACATGTTCCCTCACTGCCACTTCAAACACCATTCCAGCTTCATTCCCCAGAATTGGGTCCAGCACTGCACTGTCCCTTCTAGTATCACCTACATGTTGATGTATAAATCTCTTCTGTACACATTTCAAGAAATCTACTCCCTCTAAACCCATTATGTCTATCCCAACTAATTTTCTGGGAGTTGAAATTCCCGAATATAATCACCCTCTTTTTATTTTTGCACATCTCAGTGAATTGTCTATCTATCTGCTCCTCTTTAGTCCCTTTGACTATTTGGGGGTCTATAATACAGTCCGAAATATGCCTGCTCCCTCTTTGTTCCTAAACTTTATACACAAAGCTTCTTTTGAAGGCTCTTCCAAGATTTTGTCCCTCTTTATTGCAGTAACTAACGTCTTCATTAATAAGGTGACATCATCTTTTCTATTACACCCTCCCCTGCCTTGCCTGATGATCTATTATCCCAGAATGTGAAGCTACCAGTCCTCATCTCTCTCAACCACGTTTCTGTGATGGCAACAATATCACAGTTCCACATGTCAATCCAAGCTCTTAACTGACCCTATCATACTCCTACCTTCCTGCCTTGAATAAAGATGGCTGAACTCTCTATGCCCTGGCTCTTTTACCATATTGTCTTTTACCTGTGTCCCTATTGTCGGCATGCTGGTCTCATTCTGATTTGTACAGGTTCCCCAGAAACAGTCCCAGTGATCCAGGAATCTAAAACCCATCTTCCTGCACCAATTCCTAAGGCACGCATCCATTTACCCTACTCTCCTATTTCTGTACTCACCAGCACATGGCACCAGGAAAAATTCAGAGGTTACAAATGTAGAGGCCTTGCTTTATAATCTACTGCCGAGCTCCCTGAATTCTTGATGCAACACCTCATCCCTCATTCTACCCATGTTGTTGGTGCCAATGGGTATAGTGACCTCCGATTTATCGTCCTCCCTCTTCAGGATGCCCTGTAGCTACTCAGTGACATCCCTAACCCTGTAACAATGGAAGCAGCACACCACCCTAGGGTCATGTCTGTATGTTCCGGAACGAATGATGTGTTGGATGTATCTTTCCAAAGAAGAGAAGTAGAGTTTGTTCCTCACTAAAATAATAATTGCAGTATTTCGTACAATCCCAAAATTGTAGTTGTGATAAACCTGAAGGTATTTCTTATGAATTTAATGTTTCATTGCAACAAACAGGATTAACTACCAAGACTGCATTACCTACACATGATGCAGAAATCATCCCATTAAATTATTGTCAGAGGTGTGTCATCCACAATAAGGAATAATATTGCCTACAAGAAATAACATGTAGGAGTATTGTGTCTAGTTCTGTGTTCCATTATAGAAGATCCACTGAAAATGAATTCTGGTTCATTTGGGTGGAAACTAAAGTACTAGGGAAATATTTGGGACTACTTCTCAACAGGCAAAGAAAACTGATGGATGTCTTAAAATGAAGAAGGATTTTGATGAAGTGAATAGGAAAAAATAACTTAGTGATCTTTGGCCAGCTGGTGACAAATTGCATGTAACTGAGCAGCAAGAGGCTCAGAGTTTTTAGAACATGGTAACATTATTGGAGCAAAACGCCAGGTAAATGAATAACTCAGGTACTTGGATGTTGACAGGAGTGAGATCAATAGGGCCTTGCAATTGTGAGGTGAGGGTAGGGCAGATGAAACTTAAATTTAAATTTTGGGATACTTATTCTCTGGATCCTTATTCCACGAGATACCCTGGCAGAAAAGGCAAAAAGCTTTCCCTGGCACACTCGTGATTAAAACTAGCTGGCAGGCCATGATAATGTAATTGGTACCTGATCTGTATATTTGTCAGAGCCAGCTTCTGAACAAACTGGTCGCACTTACACCTACTGATAAAAATGGGTTAAAAGCAGGTCAATACCAAGGAGTATTGTTACTGCATGTGAACCCAGTGGGCAGAATTCAGTCTGATCGAATGGGGAATTTAAAAGTGACACAGCATGAGATATCAGTGTCTCACTGTGGAGCAAATGAATGATGATTGTGGAGTTCCTGCTACAACTATCGGGTCATTAACAAAGCATCGCACATGTACAGAGGCTTTTACCATAGCCTTCCCTAGATGGGGAACAAATAGCTGGAACAACAGTGATGTCCACTGTTAGGATTTCCATCAAAAGCTGAGGAGTTCAGCTCACTGCAGGACAACCTGGAAAAGTAACAGCAGGATCTGAAACCCCAACACCCCCACCCCCACATTCCTGGTGAAATCAGCTAACTCAATGAGGAGGCTGGAAAAGTCAGACTCAAGATTTTGAGGATTTGTATTGAAGGGTTGTTGTCAACTGGATTGACAAGTACCAAGAGGCAGCATCCCTGGGTGATTGATGGACATTCCATTGACTGTTTCCCAGAGATCTTTGATTCTGTGGTGTCCATTTTCCTATGGTTTGCTGTAATCAGCATCTTGTTTGCAGTAGCAATGCAGAGGGCGGTTCACGTGAGCTTGCCTCCAGCAGAATGTTTTACCTGATGTGGCAATGCTCATGTTATCCCTCCGAACATAAAAACTGCATGTGTGTATTATACTGAAGAAAGAAACAGACATTTATTACAAATAACTATTATGTACAACCAGAACATTGACAGGAATTTAAGATTCTGGGCAACATCAAGCTATTACATACAACAGAAGAAAATGTTCCCGGGAGAAATGTGTTATGTTATAAGATGGGTAAGATGCCAAATGAGACATTTATACCCTCAGTTTATGAACTGATATACACTGAAGTTAATAATAAGTAAGTTTCTTAAAATACTGAGTGACATAACACATTAGTAGAGGCTGAAACCCAGTACATAGAGTCCTTCACAGAGGTTTTACAGTAAAGGTGCAGACAGCATATGGCTGTTGAGTTCCATGACCTTCACTGAGATGTTTCAATTGTGAAATATATCATCCAGTGATTTACCACTTGCAACATTTTCTCCTGCAAGAACAGAAATGATTAGGTTCATATATGGTAGCATTAGGTAGCACAGGGCAGTGTAGGGCCTCAGTGGTTAACACTGCTACCTCACAGCACCAGGGACCTGGGTTCAATTCAAGTCTCGGCTGACTGTGTGGAGTTTGCATATTCTCCCTATGTTTGTGGGTTTCCTCCAGGTGCTCTGATTCCCTCCCACAATCCAAAAATGGGCAGATTAAATGGATTGGCTGTGCTGAATCGTCCATTGTATCCAGAGCTGTGTAGGATAGATGGGTAAGCCTTGGGAAATGCAGGGATGGGGTAGTGGGATGCTTTTCAGAGGGCTGGTGTGGACTCAATGGGCTGAATGGCCTACATAGACACTATTAGGATTAAATGATAGATATGCAATGCTGTTAAAATAGATACCTTGGAGATATGCATGAAAGTAACTTTTTTTGAGGATGACAGGCAACAACTGTACCCACTATATTAGACGTTGCGAAGTTTTAGTCGACTAAATGTCATTTTTGGGGAGGGTAATCTGCACTGTTGTAGATGAATGAGACCAGTGTGCACGGTCTACTGTATTCTACTGTGCTTCTCTAAATCACAAGGGTCCATTCTTTTAAGCCTATAAAATGAGAATGCTGGAATAAAAATATGCATCCCCAATCCACAAGATTAAAGAAACACAAATACTTTTCTTGATCAAGTCGGATTCTTTGGGCAGAACGCTCTTGAGACAAATTAGAAAGGTGAATTGTTATAAAATAACTGGAACAAGTTTTCCAAGTATTAAATCTGTACGTTTGCACTGCCCCACGGGAACTGAAGGAAAATTACTGCTACCATTCAAGTCAACTTCCTCTGCTCTGCATCAGCGTTTGATGCAGAAATGACACACCTCACACATAGAGAATCATGGGGGTAGGAACGCCCAGTAGTAACACTGACACTTCCTTGTTGCAGTTCCAGAAGCTGAGTTTGCTTCCCCAGCAGCAAACGATCCCTGAGCTCTTAAAGCTGTTTCAATCATGAGCGAAGAAAGACTCAGAACGGAGGATGAATCTTCAGGCGCAGTCACTCAAAACAATCCGCAAGTCAGAGGAGGTTCTGATGCCGGAGAAACCGACTGGAAAGCTGCACAGAAGGCATTTGAAAAGATAGCTTCCACAAAGAAACTGCGGACTGTGAGTAGATACAAAAAAAAGGGTTTGTATTTAGTATCCTATTCAACTTCTCCCAATGATTTATAAATTCGTGTCCTTTTCCTTGGCTAGCCCAAGTGTCAAGATGCTATCACGATCGCCGTGTCTTCTCGCTGCCTCTTTAACATGGTGGAAGAAAGAAAGATATATGAACTGCAAGGCCTGGAAAGTTACGTGAAATACCAACAGGAACACGAAGAGGAGCCCCTGAAGAAGGGGCCGGCTTTCCCATTAGTGAAGGTAGAGGATATGTCCGGGTTAATCCCATCCAGCCTTTTAGAATGTGTGTCGTTCCCCCTTCCATCTAGAAACTTACATGAATTAGTATTAACATATTTCGATCATTGTAACTCTGACTCTGAAAGGGAAGTTCCTCAATGTACAATTTTAAGTGTAGAGTGGTTGCAACAAATTATACTGCCTGTCCCAGCCACAAATGTTGCACAGCTTAACATGACACAAATGAAAGCTGAGCAGATGATGTTTCTCTAGAAGATGGAGATTAATTGGACCTCAGATGTGGTAAGGAGACTGATGTGTGTTGTAGGCTGCTAAAACAGTGGGCTACTGTTTCATTACTGTCCATTTAGGCCAGTACTTCACAGTTATGGGGTGGGGGTGGGGGCGGGGGCGTGGAATCTTGAGATAGATTTGATTTTCAGAGGCCTTAAAAGGTATAAGGCATTTTAAATTCCAGGGAATGGTTTACAAAAATGGGTAGACTAACACTGTGGTTAACTGTGGGCAACTTGTGAGAGGAAAAGAAGTTATTTTGAACACTGAAATCCTTTCATAGGATTCAACCAGAAAAATGAAAGCAGTGTAGCTTACACATGCTGCAATTTTCCCAAAATGTAAACCCAGAAAAATCTTTTAATATCTACTCTAGGAATACTATGAATGTTTCAGTCAGTACCTTTCTCAAATTCTATTTTATAAAATCCTTGCAGATATTTGCCAAAAAATTTGGGCTGTTTCTAAGTGATGCTTTTCCTCCTAAGATAATCCTTTCCCTGTACTAACCAATGCATGTACAGTGGTAAACTTTCCCTAAATTCTCTCAATTGTAAGTAAAATCCCCTCTTTAAATGAAATAATCAAAACTGCCCACGGTAATCTAGGTGTGGTCTCATCAATACTTGACAGAGGTGTTGTAAGATTTTCCTGTTTTCATACTTCACTCGCTTTGCCTGAAACTCAACATACCACTTGCCTTTGAAATTACTTATTGTACCTGCATCAGAACTCGTGTGTTTCATGTATAAAAACACCTATACCCCTCTGCATCACAGCATGCTGTATTTAACCGCCACTTAAATAATAAATAGTTTATTTTTTTCTGCCTCCATCACAATTATCCTACATTATTCTCCATCTGTCATTTTTTCTTCCATTTACTTAACCTGTCCATATTTGTTGTGTCCTCACAATTTGCTTTCCCACTTATCTTGTGTCCATAGACAATAAGAAATAGGAACAGGAGTGAGCTGTTCGACCCCTGCTCACACCATGTGATAGGATCATGGCTGATCTAACATTCCTCATTTTCCTTGATTCCCCACCTGATCTCTCAAATCTATCTGTCTTAGTCTTAAATTTACACGAGGACTATGCACCACAGGTCTTTGCTGTAAAGGATTTCCAAAGATTCTCGACCCACTGAGAGGAGGAATTCCTCCTTATCTCATTTTTTAAACTGATGCCCCATTATTCTGGGACTGTTCCTTCTGGTGCTAGGCTCTCCCATGAGGGAAAACATCCTATCCGCATTTATCCTGTCAAGCCCCTTAAGAATCCTATATGTTTCAAATGAGATCACCTCTCATTCTTCTAAACTCCAGTGAATACAGTCCCAACCTGTTTAGCCTTTACTCGTTAGACGATCCCTCCCTACCAGGGATGATCCTAGTGAACCTTTTCTGAACTGTCTCCAATGAAATATCTTTCCTTAAGTAAGGGGACCAAAACTGCTCGCAGTACTCAAGATGTGGTCTCACCAGCAACTTGTAAAAGTTGCAATAAGACTTCCTGACTCTAATTCCCTTGAAATAAGGGCCAACATTCCATTAGCCTTCCGGTCATTTAATTTGGCTACAGTATGCCTGGTCTCATTATCCAAGCCAGTAATATAAATTCTAAATAATTGGGCTCAGCATTGATCTCTGTGGCAGTCCAGGAGTTCCAGCTTGTCAACCTGAAAATAACACGTTTAGCCTGACTCTGCTTCTTTTTAGTTAGATAGTCTTCTATTCATGTGGCAACTTTTTGAATGTGTTTTAGAATTTCAAACACACGGCATCCTCTTTATCCAGCATGTCTGTACATCCTGAAAAAAAACTCTTTTAAAAAAGGGTCAAACACAATTTTATTTTCATAAAGAATTGACTCTGCATGAATGTATATATTTTTTAACTTCCTGCTTTTGGTTACACAACTAATAGATTTTAGCATTATCACTGTGACAGACCTCCGGCTTACTGGCCTTTGGTTTCCTGCTCTCTTCTCTTCCTCTTTTCTGAAAATAGGTGTTTTGTTTGCAGTTGTTAAATCTGTTGGGACCTGTCCCGGATCTAGGGTATTTTGGAAGATTATAACGGCACGTTGGCTCAGTGGTTAGCGCTGCTGCCTCACAACGCCATGGACCTGGATTCGATTCCACCCTCAGGTGACTGACTGTGTGGAGTTTGCACATTCTCCTAGTGTCTGCGTGGGTTCCCGCTGGGTGTTCCAGTTTTCCTCCCACAGTCCAAAGATGTTTGGGTTAGGTGGACTGACCATGATAAATTGTCCATAGTGTCCAAGGATGTGCAGGCAAGGTATATTAACCATGGGAAAGCAGAGTTACAGGGGTGGGATAACAAGGTGTAGAGCTGGATGAACACAGCAGGCCAAGCAGCATCAGAGGAGCAGGAAAGCTGACGTTTCGGGCTTGGGTCTGGGTGGGATGCTCTTCGGATGGTCGGTGTGGACTCGATGGGCTGAATGGCCTGCTTCCACACCCTACAGATTCTATGATTTTCTAACCAATGGCTCTGCAAGTTTTTTTTTAAGACATATATATGGAGGCCTTTAGTCCTATTAGTTTGACTGTTAGTTTCCTCCAGTGATAGTGACCATTATAATTTCATCCCTTTTACATCCTGCCCACAATTTTCTCCTTTTGACCGGGATATTTGTAAAACATGTGCTACCGTGAAAACTGTTATAAAGTATAAGGTATGACATCATTTAATGGAGAATGGATAAATATTTGAAAGGATGGAACACTTGGTGAGCTAGCAGCTACAGAGACACAATGACCCAAGTGCTCACTTTCTGTGCTGGAATATCTGTGATAGTTTGTGAGTTTTCATTTAAGGCTGAGGAAATTTATAAGTTTAAAACCGCTTTCATTAAGCTGGATCATTACTTGTAGAACAATAAATCATCTTCAAGAACATAATGCATTTATTTCTTCCAGGCACTAGAAACTGTTAACTTACGACTACGTGAACTTTACCCTGACAGTGATGAAATATTTGATATTGTACTGATGACTAACAACAATGCCCAAGTAGGCGTGAGGCTGATAAATAGCATCAATCACTACGGTAAGTTCATAAAAACTATGTATGTTTGCTTATTTTGATGACATTGAATTTTATTTTATATTTACACTCTGGTGCTTCTGCTGCCTTCTCCCAGACACACTGCAGTTTCATTACCCTGTAGTTACTCTTCCTTAGTTTGTATCTATACACACTAACTTTCCATTGCTATGGTCAGCTCACTTTACTTCTGTAGTGATGTACCTAATCTTGTCAGTACATGCTTGCAATAAAATAATTAGTGCTCACTGTGCGATACACCCATAAAACAAATTACAAAGTACTCAAAGACAGATGATTTTAAAATTAAAAATAGCAATTTTCTGGGGTCACCATATATTTACTCAATATGTAATTATGCATTTTTTAAAAATCTGTGTTCAACCACTCAAAAAGCCAGATGTTTGAACAGGAACAGGCATACTCATGGCTAGGCAAGTTAAATTAAAAAAGAAATAAAATTTCAGTAACTTAGAAAGATGGAACGGTGTGATACTTTGACACAAATGACATATGCTGTTTAAAACATTGTTCATGAGAAATCAGACATGCTGATTAAAATGGAATGCATTCAGCTACTAAATACCTGGAACTTTATTCACACACCATTGATGTAGCCCAAAGCCATTTGGTACACTTGTAAAATCCATGAAGACCATGACATGTAGTGGGTGTGGTTATTGTGTTGCATTAGTGTTATTTTCACTGAAACACTTCAAAGGAAATTAACTAAACACTTCTTAATTTTTGCGAAGGTGCTTTTGGTTTTATCAGAACAGAGTGGGCACAATTGGCCTGTGCATGTTTCATCTCCAGTGGTCACACATTGACACTCAATGTCACACATGCAAAACACAGGCCCATCTAGTGAACCCAACCTGGAAGTATAAAGAAAAAAAACTCGAGATGAGTATCAACTGTTGCAATGTCAAAACCAGAAAACAATCGTAGCTCAAAAGATTATGCAGCCAAAGGATGAGATAAATCAGAAAGCTAGTTACTATGTAAATAATACAGTTATATCTAAGGAAGTGCATTTCAGTTGGAAAGAGGTCATTCTCATTTTAAATCAATGTGTTGCAAAATATTTTGTCACTTTCTATATTTTGCCTCCCTTTCTTGTCTGTTCCCCTAGTATTTTCATTCTGGTACATAATTTATACAATCACTACAACAATAAAATACTATCACAAGTTTTTGTTTTGCTCAATCGAAGAATAATCGTCATCAGTAACGTTGTAGATTTTGTACCAATAACACAGTAGTAGACAGTACCAACTCAGGATAGTTTACATAAGAACATAATGAGTCTGATCTGATAGTGATGATATTGAAGAAGGCTGCTTGGTTTGATATCTTTTTTAATTCATTCATGGACATAAGCATAGCAGACTTGGCTAACATTTATCCCTATCAGTTCTGAGCCCAGTGTCTGTGTCCAACTCATACTTAAGTCACCTAGGTACATACACAACACTGCCAAACAGATTGAACAGCAACTGGTCACTCCTTCCAAAAATGCCAGTGGAAGGCAGTAAAAGTATGATAGATTTGTGGTCAGCCATGTGATGGACGTATTTGGGGTGGCACAGTAGCTCAGTAGTTAGCACTGCTGTATCACAGCACCAGGGACATGGGTTCAATTCCAGCCTCGGGAGACAGTCTGTGTGGAGTTTGCACATTCTCCCCGTGTCTGCGTGGGTTTTCTCCGGATGCTCTAGTTTCCTCCAACAGTCCAAAGAGGTGCAAGTTAGGTGGATTGGCCATGCTAAATTGTCCATAGTGTCCAGGGATGTGCAGGTTGGGTGGATTAGCTGTGAGAAAGAATTGGGTGTGGGTCTGGGTGGGATGCTGTTTGGAGGGTCAGTGTGGACTTGATGGGCTGAATGGCCTTCTCCCACACTGTATTGATTCTATAAAATTTATGCATATACTATCACTGTCTGTGGCTCCAGACTGCAACATGCTATTAAAATGATATGTTAACACAGCAACTCTAGCTCCTGACCATGGGGAGGAGTGATAGGAAGTGGTAGGAGGAGGAATGGTAGTTGGTCCAGTTAGCTGGGCAAGCTAATGTGAATCTGTTCTGGGTCTGACTGGGATGGTATGGTTATCTGCAGTTTGCCCTAAATGTAAGAAGGTGTGGTATTGTGATTTGGAGCTGCCTTAGGGAGGAGAATTGAAGAATTTATAATCTGAATGGATTGGCATATGAGACACCTCTCTCTTATGTTAACTATTTCCTGCGTTGCTTCCTTCAGCTGGAAGCAGTTAAAACTCGGGTCAGAGTTTCTCACTATGATGTAGCTAACAAATACCTGACTGAATTATCAGATCACATTCCAATTCCCACTTCGAAAAATAAACAGCAAATATGGAATGAAACAGAAGAGAAACAAACACTTGCTTTGTGGGCACTCAGTTTCTGAACCATGTCAGTTCTTGAGACAATGCAGTTCAGGTATTTTTTCCCAATAAACTGCATCAAGTACCACTATACAGGATAAGCGCTCAGGACACACATTCCCACAATTACAGACTAAACCCTGGAGTAAGACCAGACAAATTTGTGTTTGCTGCACCTAAGTTGTGCAATGCATGTCTGCATGATGGATATCTTGCTGTAATAGCAATTTAATACAAATCAACCTGGGTGGATTTATCATCCTCAGGGTGTGTGCAAGTGTGGACCAATGAAGTGGAATGACTCATTCATATACAATGCACACACCTATATGATTGTTGCAAAAGTTTGACCTGCATGAAACAGAGAACAAATACTCATTCACAGATTTTGCAGCTTGTCATACAGGAATTCATTTAGTATCAGAGATAGTAGGAACTGCAGATGCCACAGAATCTGAGATAACACGGTGTAGAGTTGGATGAACACAGCAGGCCAAGCAGCATCATAGGAGCAGGAAGGCTGACGTTTCGGGCCTAGACCCTTCTTCAGAAATGGGGGAGGGGAAGGGGGTTCTGAAATAAATAGGGAGAGGGGGGGAGGCGGATAGAAGATGGATAGAGGAGAAGATAGGTGGAGAGGAGACAGACAGGTCAAAGAGGTGGGGATGGAGCCAGTAAAGGTGAGTGTAGGTGGGGAGGTAGGGAGGAGATAGGTCAGTCCAGGGAGGACGGACAGGTCAAGGGGGCGGGATGAGGTTAGTAGGTAGAAGATGGGGTGGGGCTTGAGGTGGGAGGAGGGGATAGGTGGGAGGAAGAACAGGTTAGGGAGGCAGGGACGAGCTGGGCTGGTTTTGGGATGCGGTAGGGGGAGGGGAGATTTTGAAGCTTGTGAAATCCACATTGATACCATTGGGCTGCAGGGTTCCCAAGCGGAATATGAGTTACTGTTCCTGCAACCTTTGGGTGGCATCATTGTGGCACTGCAGGAGGCCCAGGATGGACATGTCGTCTGAGGAATGGGAGGGGGAGTTGAAATGGTTCGCAACTGGAAAGTGCAGTTGTTTAGTGCGAACCGAGCGTAGGTGTTCTGCAAAACGGTCCCCAAGCCTCCGCTTAGTTTCCCCGATGTAGAGGAGGCCACAACGGGAACAGCGGATGCAGTATACCACATTAGCGGATGTGCAGGTGAACATCTGCTTGATGTGGAAAGTCTTCCTGGGGCCTGGGATGGGGGTGAGGGGGGAGGTGTAGGGGCAGGTGTAGCACTTCCTGCGGTTGTAGGGAAAAGTGCCAGGTGTGGTGGGGCTGGAGGGGAGTGTGGAACGGACAAGGGAGTCACGGAGAGAGTGGTCCCTCCGGAAAGCAGATAAGGGTGGGGAGGGAAAAATGTCTTTGGTGGTGGGGGCGGAAGTGTTGGAGGATGATGCGTTGGATCCGGAGCTTGGTGGGGTGGTACGTGAGGACGAGGGGGATTCTTTTTTGGTTGTTATTGCGGGGAGGGGGTGTGAGGGATGAGTTGCGGGAGACACGGTCGAGGGCGTTCTCAACCACTGAATTCATTTAGTATAACTGGTTTTGAAATAGAATGTGATTAAATACACCTTTTAGAAAATGTTTTACTGATACATGCTTGTAAATTGAAAAATAATCTCAACAAACTACCTGAAGTGGGCTGCATCTTAAAAATATTGCCTTTGTTCTTTTTTTTCAAACAGATCTGTCAATTGAAAGGTTCTGTATGACTGGTGGGAAAAGTCCAGTTGGGTATCTGAAAGCATACCTCACCAATTTGTATCTTTCAGCAGATTCTGAGAAAGTGGGAGAAGCAATTGAAGAAGGTACAGATTCAACAAACTGACATAAACTTATTACAGCATTGTATTCTATTGTAGGAGGGAAAATTGGTACAACAACAGCACTTAAACTGCTTAGTTTTTTTGTGTTGGTGGGTGTGTTTTTGAGCAACAGGGTTTCTGTAAGGAATTAATTTAACCAGTTACACTTAAGAAATACTGGTTGTTGCATTGTACACATTCTTTGTTCAGTGTTTAACTTTTTCCTGATCTTCTGAACCATTTATATCATGATCCTGAGCAAATCATTTCAGAATAATCTGGAATCCAACTATTTTTAGTTTGGAAGGTCTATTTTTACAGCAAATTGGGTGCTCAGCCCTTTTAAAACTAAAGGGTACTGATTCTATGGACTATTTATCGTGTAATTGACATCTCTAACCTTTAGATGCGATTAGTAGTCGGGATTATCTACTGGAGCTTCCATCTCCACCTACCTGTGTAAACTTGGTGGTGAGGGAGGTGGGAGGGGAAGTCTTTTGGAAGTTGTTTTGCCAGCTTGTCACTGCTGTTGTGGAGTTTTCTGACGGAAGTGACATGGGTGGAGTACACCTAGAGTACACCTTTAACACATAAGTGAACAAAATGAGAAAGTGTACAAATGGCAGGATAATGACAGCTAACATTTTTTCACCATCACTATCACCGGAGCACTGTTGCATTAGACCGTATGATGTCGCAGCAGATGCAGACCATTCAGCCTTTTGAGTCCGTTCCGCCATTCAATAAGATCATGGCTGATCTGATCATCCTCAACTCCACTTTCCTGTCTTTTCCCTCACAAATTAAAAATCTGTCTCTCTCAGCCTGAAATATAGTTCGTGATCCAGCCAATAGCTTTCCATGGTAAAGAATTCCACAGATTCACCATCCTCTCTAAGAGAAGAAATTTTTTCTCTTTTCTGTCTGTTGTGGACCAGACCAAATCTCCTCAAAATATATTAAGAAGATAGTCTAGACCCTAAAATTTTCTTATTTTAAAGGTAAGTGTAAGGTGTTGCATTGCAGATACAATTCGATTGGTCAACTACTTGATTTTACACAAAACATGCTTTATTTTTACACTACAGTTAAAATACTCAAACTAAAGACAAAAGGAAAGAATTTGCTTAACTGTAACTCTATCAAAATGCTCAACAAAACTATCTATATATGTATATATAAACTACTACTAATTAACTGTTCCAATAAAGTAACTTCGCATAAACGTACCCTTGACAAAGACAAATTCAATAAAATAGATTGTCTTACGTGCAATTCCAGTAGCAAGAAGAGAACCACAGCTTTTAGCTGTAACAGAGAGAGGAATAAGAGCTTCCACATCCAAATTCAGGACCCCAGCAACTGTTAAAAGCTAAAACTACAAATCCTGGTTTTGTGGGAGTTTGCCCCACCCATTCAGGCTGCTTCTATTGTTCCAACTTTAAAAAAAAACCCCAGGATCTCACAAGCTGTTTACTTTATTGGCTTTAAGCAGACCGCTCATCGCCTCTGACTCAACCTTACAAAATATACCTCTTACACAAAGAGCAGATGTGAGCTCAATTAATAACAAATCAGAAGTAATAGCTTTTTGCAGACCAAGACGATTAAAAAATACTAAGTCAAGGCAGGTGGCCAGAGTTAAGATATAAATCATGACCTTGCTGAATGAAAGAAGAGCTTGGGGAGGGCGTGGCTTGCTGCTGTCCCTGTGTACCTAACACAGTCATTTTACATCAGTCTACAGTCCATTTGGCAAAGACAGTGTACTCTGAGTGGGGGACTTCAGTGCCCACCACCAAGAGTGGCTCAGCAGCAGTACTACTGATCGAGCTGGTTGGGTCCGAAAGGACATAGCTGCTAGACTGGGTCTGCAGCAGGTGGTGAGGGAAGCAACAAGAGGGAAAAACATACTTGACCTCATCCTTACTAATCTGCCAGCTGCAGTTGCATCTGTCCATGACAATATCGGTAAGAGTGACCATTGCACAGTCCGTGTGGAGATGAAGTCCTGCTTTCACATTGAGAATAACTTCCATCCTGTTGTGTGGCACAATCACCATGCTAAATGGGACAGACTTCGCACAGATCTACCAACTCAAGACTGGGCATCCATGAGGCGCTGTGGGCTATCAACAGCAGCAAAATTGTACTCCAGGACAAGTTGTAGTGTCATGGCCTGGCATATCCCCCACTCAACCATTACCATCAAGCCAGGGGATCAACCCTGGTTCAATGAAGAGTGCAGGAGGACATGCCAGGAGCAGCACCAGGCATACCTGAAGATGAGGTATCAACCTGGTGAAGCCACCAAACAGGACTACTTGCAGGCCAAACAATGAAAGCAGCAAGTGATAGACAGAGCTAAGCGATCCCACAACCAACGGATCAGATCTAAGCTCTGCAGTCCTGCCACATCCAGTCGTGAATGGTGGTGGACAATTAAACAACTCACTGGAGGAGGAGGCTCCACAAATATGCCCTTCCCCAAGAGCACAGCACATCAGTGCAAAAGATAAGGCTGAAGCCTTCGCAGCAATCTTCAGCCAGAAGTGCTTAGTGGATGATCCATCTCGGCCTCCTCCAGTGGTCCCCAGCTTCACAGATACCAGTCTTCAGCCAATTCAATTCACTCCACATGATATCAAGGAATAGTTGGAAAGACTGGATACTGTGTAGGCTACGGACCCAGATAACATTCCGGTAATAGTACTGAAGACTTGTGCTTCAGAACTTGCCGCTCCCCTAGCCAAGCTGTTCCAGTATAGTTGTACTCTGGCATCTGCCTGACAATATGGAAAATTACCCAGGTATGTGCTGTACATAAAGAGCAGGACAAATCCAACCCAGCCAATTGCGTCCCATCAGTCTACTCTTGATCACCAGTAAAGTGATGGAAGGTGTCATCAACAGTGCTATCAAGCAGTACCTGCTTAGCTATAGCCTGCTCAGTGATGCTCAGTTTGGGTTCCACCAGCCACTCAGCTCCTGACCTCATTACAGCCTTGGTTCAAACATGGACAAAAGAGCTGAATTCCAGAGGGGAGGTGAGAGTGACAGCCCTTGACATCAAGGCTGCATTCGACCAAGTGTGGCATCAAGGAGCCCGAGCAAAACTGGAATTACTGGGTATCAGGTGGTTGGAGTCATACCTGACACATAGGAAGATGGTCGTGGTTGTTGGAGGTCAGTCATCTCAACTCCAGGACATCTCTGCAGGAGTTCCTCAGGGTAGTGTCCTCTGTCATCTTCAGCTGCTTCATCAATGACTTTCCCTCCATCATAAGGTCACATCATGATTGCACAGTGTTCAGCATCATTCGTGACTCCTCAAATACTAATGCAGTCTGTGTTCAAATGTAACAAGATCTGGATAGTGACCAGGCTTGGGCTGACAAATGGCAAGTAACATTTGCACCACACAAATGCCAGGCTATGACCATCACCAATAAGAGACAATCTAATTAATGCCCCTTGACATTCAATGGTGTTACCATCACTGCATTCCCCAAAAGCACCATCCTGGGGGGTTACTATTGACCAAAAACTCAACTGGACTTACCACATAAACACAATGGCTACAAGACCAGGTCAGAGGCTGGGAATACTGTGGTAACTCACCTCCTGACTCCCCAAAGCCTGTCCAACATGTACAAGGCACAAGTCAGGAGTGTGATGGAATACTCCCACTTGCCTGGATGAATGCGGCCCCAACAACACTCAAGAAGCTTGACACCATCCAGGACAAAGCAGCCCGTTTGATTGACACCACATCCATGAGCATCCACTCCCTCCACCACCGACACTCAGTAGCAGCAGTGTGTACTATCTACAAGATGCACTGCGGCAATTCACCAAAAGATCCTCAAACAGCACCTTTCAAATCCACGGCCACTTCCATCTAGAAGGACAAGGACAGCAGATACATGGGGAGGCCACTACTTCCAAGTTCCCCTCCAAGCCCCTCACCATCCTGACTTGGAAATATGTCACTGCTCCTTCACTGTCACTGGGTTAAAATCCTGGAATTCCCTCCCTAAGAGCAAAATTGATCTACCTGCAGCAAGAGGACTGCAGTGGTTCAAAATGCAGCTCACCTCCACCTTGTCAAGGGCAACTAGGGACAGGCAATAAATGCTGGCCAGCCACTGACACCCACTTCCCACAATTGGATTTTTTTAAAAAGCTAGCTAAATGCTGATGGTTGTTGCAGTAGCTCACCTGTCACAATCCACTTTATTTGCTGTGGATATGGGCTGGGGTATATCGAAAGAAGTTTAAAATTGCATACTTTCACTGAAATAGCACCAGATTTGTTCTAAAACGGTGGCCATGCCTTGAAAGCTGGCCACACAAACCACATAAATCGGGAAGAATACTCATTCCTTTGCACCTCAATCTGTGTCTCTCAATATGTCGCATTCTTTAAAGAAATGAAATATATGTGTATCAGGTAAGGATTCTGTTAAAGCATTATGAATACCTCAAAGGGTTCTGAGGAAGGGTCACCGGACCCGAAACGTTAGCTCTGTTTTCTCCTTCACAGATGCTGCCAGACCTGCTGAGCTTTTCCAGCAACTTTGTTTTTGTTGTTGTTGATCTGAATACTTCATTGGTTTCAGTAAATGGTTTCATATTGCTTTGCAAGTCCACAGCATACTTTATACTTTTGAACACTGATTCACGTGGAATGTGTTTTCAATCATGTTAAAGATGCTTCTAAAATAGTTCAAACCCCTAAGATGTTTATGATCTGTTAATTGTATCAGTTTTATGTAGTATCCATATTGGTGTTCAACACTGAACTACATTGTACTTTAAATATCCTCTGTTTGATTTGTGTCAGACAAATTGAGCAGGTTTTGTGGGTAACACACCTTTAAGTACCTATGTGTCATGCAGGAATCTTTTAATAATCCTATCGGTAATGATATCATTTTGTTCCTCTAGTTCAAGGTGATTAGTGTGTGGAATGTTAGATGGGTACAGAAATGAAAGGCAAC